TGAAGGATGTCCCCAGGCAGAGGAGATGGTTGTGATAGTCCTTCCAGCTGGGTGGCCCAGGCTTCCTGGTGCCCTTTCAACTCCTTGCCTGTGGAGTTTCTCCCTGCTTGCCTCTGTGCTGTCACTGCTCGTCCTTCCTTGCACATTTGCTTTAGCTTTTTTCCCCTTCTTTTTTAGTGTTGGAGTTTGAACACACAGCTTCTTTCATGCTTGGGTTCCTGTACCAGAGCTCTTTCTCTTTAATCCAGCACTTGGGAGGCAGAGACAGGTGGATCTCTGTGAGTTCCAGGCCCCTATGGTCTACAGAGCGAGTTCCAGGACAGTCAGGACTGTTAGAGAAACCGTGTCTCAAAAAAAGAAAAAAAAAAGTGTTTAACCAATGGTGGTGGTGACATTAATCCCAGCACTTGGAATCAGAAGCAGGCGGAAATTTGAGGCCAGCCTGGTTTCTATAGTTCCAGGACAGCCAGGGATACATAATGTGTCCATGTGCAGAAGTTCACACAATGCTTTTGGAGATGAGAGGACAGCTTTTGTAGGAGTCATTCTGCCGAGCTTGGTGGTAGGTAATGTGCTGAACCATCTCACCAGCCCAGAGCCTCTTCTCTTCAAGTTACCATGCCTCTTCTCTCTCTGTCTCTCTGTCTCTCTGTCTCTGTCTCTGTCTCTCTCTCTCTCTCTCTGTCTGTCTCTCTCTCTCTCTCTCTCTCTCTCTCTCTCTCTCTCTCTCTCTCTCTCTCTCTCTCTCTCTCTCTCCACACACACACACACACACACACACACACAGAGTTTGTTTTGTTTTTTGAGCTAGGGTTTCTCTGTGTAGCTCTAGCTGTCCTAGAATTCCCTGTAGACCATGCTGGCCTCAAACTCCACATGTCTCTGTTTCCCACATGTCTGTTTCCCAAGTGCTGGGATTAAAGGTATGTGCCACCACCATCCAACTCTTTCTTTTTAAATTTATTTATTTTATGTGGATTGATGTTTTGTCATGGGTGTCCAGTCCCCTGGAACTGGAATTATAGACAGTTGTGAGCTGCCATGTGGGTGCTGGGAATTGAACCCAGGTCCTCTGGAAGAATAGTCAATGCTCTTAACCACTGAGCCATCTCTCCAGCCCCCAGCCTTTTCGAGACAGGGTTTCTCTGTATCGTTTTGGAGGCTGTCCTGGAACTCGCTCGGTAGACCAGGCTGGCCTCGAACTCACAGAGATCCGCCTGCCTCTGCCTCCCTAGTGCTGGGATTAAAGGCCAACAACGCCTGGCCCCAGCCTTTTCTTTAAACAAAGTATCACTCTGTAGTCCTGATTGTCCTGGACTTCACAAGAGAGTCACCTGCCTCTGCTCTCCAGGTGCTGGGATTAAAGCTGTGCACCTCTACACCTGGCTTGAATTTCTACTTTCCCATTGCCTAAGAGGGTTTTTCTCTCTCTTTTTTTTAAGACGTATTTATTTATGCATATGAGTGCTCTATTTGCATGTGTGCCGGCTTGGGAGCCACCCTGTGGTTGCTGGGAATTGAACTCAAGACCTCTGGATTCTGGAAGAGCTAAGCCTCTGTTTGTTTTAATGAATGAGGCAATTTTTTTAACCCAGCATCCTTTGTTTTAATGCTTCTTGTTGGTGGCTGACACCTGTCCAGCAATCCTGTCCAGATCTCTTTGTCTCTGCGGCCCCTATCTTGGTCCACCATTGGAGCCTCTGCTGAAGTGGCTGGGCCTGACACCATTTCTCTGCCCTCCTCCATAGATCTTGGTCATGGAGCCAACTCTGGCACCACCGTGGAGGTACAGGTGCCGTGCTGTGGAAGCAGCTCATGTGTAGAACCAGTTCTCATCATAGGGAGCAAGTTCTTTATGTTTGGCGGGCTTGACTGTGTCCACCCATTGGAGACTTTCAGCTTCCCGGACTTTTTGAGGAAGGCTGCCAGAGTTCTGACAAACTCCTGCTGGTTAAGGCATGCCAGCCAGGGGAAAGGGCACCTGTTTGTTTTTAAGCTTCTGTTGTGTTGCAGGTAATCTGGGTTTTGTAGTAATTAATCACAATCTCAAATTATTATTCCACTTTGTCAGTGAGGATTCACTTGCCATCCTCAACTATAATGGCCTAGACTCACCAGGGCAGATGTAGCAGGGAGTACCCTTGCTCTAGCCCTTGTTGGCTCTAAAGTTAAGCAGGCTCGGGGCATGAACAGATGAGGCTGTGCCTTTGTGTGATATGGTGCTGCATAGTGCCTCTCTCCAGGCCTTCCTCATAGCACCAGCCCCCTCTTATACTGAGGGTTACTTGCCTAACTGTGGGAGCAGCATGTTTGGGCAGGTGGTCAGGGTCCAGGTAGGTCTTAGCTTTGGGTAGACAGCAAGCCTCTAATAGGGCCCTGGAACATTTTTAGGATAGACTTGGAAAAGGCCATAGGCTGGAGTGGGTGCCACTCTCCCCTTTGTGCAACAGAGCTGGTCTTAGGGTTGGAGGAGGAGGCCAGTCCTAGTGTCTGATACCACATCACATATGTTCTTAGTAGAACCGACTGTTGCATTTCATAGAGGCTGTCGCAAGAGGAGGGCTGGGCTCTTGACATTTAAAATGCTTATTGCTTTCCAGGAGGATGGCCTGGGAGAGAGAGCCAGAAGTGACTGGCTAGTATCCAGGTCTGGGCCAAATTATTTGGCTGGGCTTGCCCAGAGCAATGAGCCCCACCTACTACCAAGCCCAAACCTAAAGGGCAGGAGGTCACCACACCTGGCTAGGGGTATTGTTAGAGAGGCAGCAAGCTCCCTCTCCTCTAGTGCATGCTGAATGTCACCTCTCTTTGTTTCTTCTGGTGGAAGAACTAGACACGTGCCCTCACAATGAGTTCATGAGAAAAGGCAGGTGGGGACTTTTTGTGAAGCTGGATTTGAACCCAAGGCATTACTTTATATCAGTGAGCTAGGCTTCCAGGCCTCCAGGGATGGGAGGGAAAGAGCCTGAGTTTTCCAGAGCAGCTCTGTAGTTAGAGGCCCTCCCTAGGAGTGAGGAAAATTGACCACAGCCCCTAAGTCAGGTTTAGATCCTCACTCCGCTCTTTCTGTGGGCAAGTTGCTTAACCCCCAAGAACCTTATCTGCAGCTGGAGGTAGAGATAATGGTCCTCATAAGCCTGTGGGAGGCTTCACTGAGACCAGACCTGCTCAGACCTGTTCAGTCACCGTACAGCCCCCCACCCTAGGAAACCTATCTCACTTGGGCAGATGTCTGGGAAGGCCAGGATGGATAGGGTTTCATGGAGGAGTCCAGGAAGGGACAGGATTAAATGGAATCTTGAGTTTGTGACTTTTCATAGTTAGGCTCTGGCGGACTCTTTGAGAATCTAGTCTAGGCTTGGGGTGAACTGCATTTGGGATATGAGATTACCATAATGGAGAGTGAACCAACTGCTCTCCCATTGAGGTTACAGAGGTAGTAACATGTGCTTCAATCTTGGGTACAGAAGCTGTCTGGTGGCTCTGTTGTGTTCATCAGTGCTCCTGGGCTCACAGTTTACCCCTCTCCTGGTAGTGGCACTCAGGCCATGGGTGGTAGAAAAACTCACTGGGATGAGCCAGGCAGGAGCTTTCCCTCAGTCCTCCAGGCCTTCTGCAGAAGCACACCAGCTGCCAGGGGGAAAAGGTTCTGAGGGCTGGGTGGGATGGCCCCCTTTTCTGGCTTTTTCCCTTTTCACCAGGCCTTCTGGCTGGGTGTGAAGCAGAGGAATTCCAGTCCAGGTGCCCTAGGATGCCTCCAGGAGGGTTCATTCCTGCCTGAGGGGATCAGGCATTGAGTAGAAGGGTGAGGAGTATCATGTGGCTTGAAACCACACCCTGAGTCTGGGCCCGGAGTCCTCTTGTCCTACAAGTTGAGCTACCAACTTGGTGTCTAGAGGGAGTTGCAGGAGGCACAGAACAGTGTGCTGCCTTTGGAGACCATGGCACTATGCAAGGTGGGTATCTAGGCTGACTTGGGGCAGCACTTTTTGGAAAGGATAGATTGGAGTCTTTCTCAGTTTCCTGCTTAAAATCTTTCTTGAGTCTTTAAACGCTGGGCCATAGCAGTGCTCTCCTGTCCTGTGGTCGGGTACAAGGAAGAGAAGCCTTCTCCTTCACTAGTCCTAAGGCTACACGGGCACCCTAACCTTTTTTTCCTCAGCAGGGCCATGGTAGGTCATTCCCCCAGTGACATTCTGGTCTGAGGGGCAGGAAGCAGCAGGTTATGGTGGGAAAGCCAGGCTCTGTCATCTGTTTCCTTGAATGCAGCGTTCATTTAGGGAAGTGGGGTGAATGAATACTGAGATTGTGGGTGTGTTGGGAGGGAAGCTCTCCAGGATTGTGCTGGGCTGGGGCTTGGGCCGACTGGAGGAGACACATAAAGAGTGCCCCAATCAGAGGAGGCAGGGGGCGACAGCGGCCTGTATTGCTCTGGCTACCCAGCCCATGCAAGCCTGTACTAATTTATCTGTCTGTGCTTTCATGGTGTGTGTGTGTGTGTGTGTGTGTGTGTGTGTGTGTGTGTGTGTGTGTGTGTGTGTGTGTGTGTGTGTTGGTCAGAGGACAACTAGTCAGTTCTCTTTATATAGCCCTGGCTGTCCTGGAACTCACAGTGTAGATTAAGCTGGTCTTGAACTTACTGGGATTAAAAGAGTGTGCCACCAGACCAGGCTGGTCCTTGTTTTTGAGACAGCTCTTCCTCTGATGTCCACGGCAGTTTTGAATGTGTGGTTCTTGTGCCTCAGCCTTCCAAGTATTGAGATACAGGCCTGAGCCATCACATCTGGTTTAAAATGTAAGAGAATACTGATTGTAGTTTGACTTATTTTTCTCAAAACGATATGGCACAAAATCAGTAAGTGTTTGTGTGTGTGTGTGTGTGTGTGTGTGTGTGTGTGTGTGTGTGTGTGTGTGTGTGTGTGTGTTTCGAGACAGGGTTTTCACTGCTTTGGAACCTGTCCTGGAAGTAGCTCTTGTAGACCAGGCTTGGTCTTGAACTCGAGATCCGCCTGCCTCTGCCTCCAGAGTGCTGGAATTAAAGGCGTGCGCCACCAACGCCCGGCTAAGTGTTGAATATTGAGGCGGGTATGTGTTGCTTGTAATACCAGTTTGGGAGATAGAGGCAGGAGGATCAGGTGAAGGTCACCCTGATTGCCTGTAGCAAGTTGGAAGCCAGCCTGGGATATATGTAACCCTATGTAAAAGACAACAAAATATTAGAAATTTGATCCCGTGGGTCATTGATTATTTGGTCCTGAGACCAAAGGGTAAAATCACTATAGTGCCCTGTAGTGTGGAGTATTACTAGGTTGTGATATTCTGGATTAAATGCATTTTTGAAAAATCTTGGAGGGAGCTGTATGGTATTTGCTGTGCTACGTGTGTGTCCTATGCTAGCCCCTTTCTGGGCTCACAGGCTACCTCACTTGTGTGATGGGAAGGAGTGGAAGAGGAGGATAAATGGAATGGGTGCATACTAGTTCATCAAGGCCATACGCTGATGTCTAGTGTGGGGGCTGGGAAGGTAACCCAGAATTGTATTAGTTCTTGTACTTGTTTTTACAGTAGAGCAAGCTAGACCTTGTCTACAGAGGGTCAGACTTGCTGGGCCCACCCACAGGGGAAGCCTGGAGCTGGTGGAGGTTTCTACAGTGGCTTTCAATTCCCTTTACTTGGCCTCTGAAGGATTTGTTTTGGTCAGCCCTGGGATCCAAGGTCATCCTGCCCCATTGTCCCAGATTGCTATAGGTGCCATTGTTCTGGGTTGGCAGTCCTGGGCCAGGATCACTAATAGACACCACTACCTGTTAGGAGCTTCTGGGTGTTAATCTACATGTGCCCTTGTTTTAGGTTAAGTCAGCATCTGACTTCACTGGCTGGCGTAACTAGCCATGTTCTCAGTCTCCCAGGTGCTGGCTTCTCCAAGGACAGTAGGTAGAATAGACATCTGGCCGTCATTCAGATTGGGAAGAAAAGAGCATGGTTTGTAGGCTATGGGGCCCTCCCATGGAGTGAGGAGGACCTGAGTCAGTAGGGGTGGCATCACCTCCCCCTGGTGGAGGACACAGGAAGGATCTTTATTCCTTTCCTCGATAGATCTTTGTCAGCCACTCAGCCTAACCCTGCTGTGCAGCAGGCACTCCCTGCTGCTGTCTAGTAGCTGTCCCAGTCCCTAAGTAATTTCTGGATATGGGAAGTGTTGTGGCAGAGGACTGAGCAGGGGCTGGTTTAGGCTGCTTGGTAGGTGTCTGGAGGGGTAAGATGGGTTTCCTGGCTCTGTGGTCATTCACCCAGTTTTGTTGGTTTCTCTTCTGTCCCTTGTCCTCTTGGGTGACCAGCTCATTAAACTCGGGAGCTCCAGAGCTGTTCTTTGTTCTGCGGCCTTTGGGATAATGAGCCCACTCAGAAACGGGAACTGCTCAGAGGGCAGGAGAGACAGCTGACAGCCTGAAGCCATGGACTGAGGCCTCTCAGCCTAAGGCCTGCACCCCAGGTCTGGTCACATTCCTGAGGGACCTGCCCTCATGGCTCAAGGGATGGTGTGGGGGAAGGGCTGGCAGAGATGGGTTCCTGGCTGCTGCAGGCTCCTTCTGATTTCTGGGGGGAGACCAGGCTGTTCTGTATGAAGAACAGGGACCCGGAATCTCAATATTCCTCATCCTGTGGAACCCAGAGTGGTGGTGATGATGGGAGCACCTCTCACCTAGGGCTGCTGTTGGTTGTTTTGTAGGGTTGAGAGCTGCTAGATAGACAACCAAGTTGCCAAGAGAAGAAGGCAGATTGGCCCTCCTTTCCAGCCTCTTATAAATGGCCCTTCCACGAGTAGTTCCATTTCGACCCTTTGTTATGTAAATGTGGCCAACCTTACTTTAGCTTTCCAGGATGGCAGCCTCCAGGGTCTGTTTTCTTTTCCTTTGTTTCTTCCTTTTTTTCTTCCCTTACTTCCCTCCCTCCCTCCCTCCCTCCCTCCATTTTGAGACAGGGTTTCTCCATGGCTGCCCTGGTGGAATCCTCTTATGTAGAGCAGGCAGGCCTTGAATTTACTTGCAGACATTTGCCTACCTCTGGGATTAAAGGCCTGGGACATCTACAGTGTGCTTTAGATGTTAGGTAGTGCCTCCCAGATGCTCATACCTGGTATTAGGTTCCTCATTCTTTTTTCTTCTTCCTCTTGCTTTTTGCACCAGCTGTTAGCGGACCCATTTGGGAGTCGAGCATGTGACCCTCCTTCGTGTTCCTCTCTCCTCCCTCATCACTGATGCCTGCCTTCTTCTTTCCAGGTAACCAGGCTTTGATGTGCCCTCAGGAAGTCTGCATACTCAAGGAGGCCACCCCCGCCGGCTGCTGCTCACATGGTTTCTGGGCCCCTGGCACTCCGGTAGGCCTGGGAGAGGAGTAATCATGATTTCTAGTTCTTGGGGGCTTTCTGGGTCTCTCATGCAGCCTGTGGGGGTATCTAGGACTTGTGTCCAAGTCCTTGGGCAAATAGCCTCTCTTGTTTCTCCTGCTAGGCCTGAGGCAGCACATACTGCTAACAGCTGGCACTGCCGTTGCCCTGGGACTGATAGGGCCTGATGTGGAAACCATACCTAAGCTTCTTGTTTCTACCTTGCTGGTAGAGAGAAGTTTGGTTTTCATTACCTCGGCCACTCAGTCACCTGAGTCAGCTGTTGTGGGCAAGGAGCAGGCTTGAGCCCTTTGGCAAGTACTTTCTGTAAGGTTGAGCAGTAGCATTGTTTGTTTATGTTTTTGGGTTTTTCGAGCCAGGGTTTCTCTGTTGCTTTGGAGTCTGTCCTGGAACTAGCTCTTGTAGACCAGGCTGGTCTTGAACTCACAGAGATCCACCTGCCTCTGCCTCCTGAGTGCTGGGACTAAAGGCAGCTGCTACCACTGCCCGACTGAGCAGTAGCATTCTTATACATCTGTGTTAATTCACAGTGTACTCTGGAACTTCCTGCCTGGGAAATGAGATTCCCTTCTCTGAACAAGAGCAGGTGTTGGACTGAAGAGAACCTTTTTTGGGGGGGGGTTTCGAGACAGGGTTTCTCTGTGGCTTTGGAGGCTGTCCTGGAACTCGATCTGTAGACCAGGCTGGCCTTGAACTCACAGAGATCCGCCTGCCTCTGCCTCCCGAGTGCTGGGATTAAAGGCGTTCGCCACCAAAGCCCGACTGAAGAGAACCTTTTGTCAACTGTGTGTGGGGGCATAGCGGGCCCACCCTATTGGTGGACAGGACTGGGAGTCTTTCGAGGAAAGGGCAGGACATGGGTGGTGGAGGACTTCAGAGGAATTCAGTACTTTCTGGACCCAGAAGCCAGGCATGGTGGTCACAGCACATGCCTTTAATACTAGTGCTTTGAGAGGCACAGGGAGGTCAATTTTTGTGAGTCCAGGCCAGTCTGGGGCTACAGAGGGAGACCCTGTCAAGAGAGAGAAAAGGAGGGAGGGAGAGAAAAGAGAAAGAAAGGAAGGAAGAAAGAAAGAAATTGGACCCTGAGTGGGAGGTGCAGAGCTATCTGTGTGTTAGCTGTTGGAGCCACAGAGTCTTCCTGTGGGTCTGGGTATTGCATTGCTGGCAGCTGTGTCTCCATGACTTGTGGTTTCAGGAAGCTTTGTGGTGGGCTTAGGCAGCCACTTGGGCACTGGAATGTGTCATCCCCCCCCCCCCATGGTGTTGGGTGGAGAACAAGGCTGGCCATGTGGAGTTGAATGCAACTGAGGTCTACTTGAAGTAACTTCTGACCTCCTGGGGCCTTTGTTACACTTTGCTATTGTGTGTTCCTGAAGCACTGTCTGCTGCGGAGAGTCCTGCCTGACTGAGGTGCTTCTCCACACAGGTGGGCAGCATGCCTGAACCCTACCTGTACACACTGCTTTCCACTGACAGTTTCCTTTGGAGACTAGAGACACTTGTATGCTTATTACCTAGGACCTCAGAAAGAATCTGTGCATCCTGTCTGTAAGGGCTAGCTAGCTGCCTTTCCCAGGACCCAGATGGCAAACCTTCTTTCCTAGAAGGGCATAGAACCCATGTGGTTTACAGGCTCAAAGCTCAAACAATGCCCAGTGTCTGCAGACTCCTGGATAGCGGAGAGCTTTGTTAAGGACCTAGCAGTTATGGGAGAGAGGATACAAAATCTGGGTCAGGACCAAGAGCTAGCAAATGAAGAGCCCTTGGCTGCCCAGAGGAGTATGCCAGGGTAGAACAAAAGTTGCAGGCCAGAGGCCAGCAAAGGAACCTGGTTTGGTTCATAGGGTTTTTTGTTTGCTTTTTCATCTTAAAATTTAACCTTTTCATTCAGCATAAGGAAATTACTACCACCACCACCACCAACAACAACAACAAAATCTGGAAATCTGGGAAGACCAGTCCTGTAGGTTTGCGTGTCTAGGCAGGACTGTCCAGTTTACTCTGGCCCCTAGTCTGTCAGAGGGGCACTGCTCTCTTCAGTAGCCACCTGCTGGCCATTTTGTAGGTTTTCTGCATATCCCTTAACCTGTGAATGACTCCTTTAGAATTGAGCAGTAAAAAAGTAAAATTCAAACCCCATTAAATTTTTTAAGGATCATTTCTCTTTATGTGTGTGAGTGTTGTGTCTGCATGTATATGTGTGCTCCACTTGAGTGTCTGCTCCTGTGGAGGCCATAAGGGGACCTGGAATTACAGATGTTTGTGAAGAGCAACACACACTTAACTAATAAGCCGTCACTCCAGTCTGTAAACCCATCTTTTGCTTGGCACCTTTATAAGCTCTTTTTCTCATGTGAGTGAATGGCAGGGCCTGGGTGGATATACTCTCCTTTCTCATGGATTGAGACCTGTCCCTATACACTGTTCCTGAGGAGGGTGGAATCGAGTGGACTTAGATCATGCCCTGTGCCAGGCTTTATGCAGGTCGCAGGTTAACTATCCTGCCTGTTCTTGCCCACAGGTGGTGCCCGTGGGCAGGGCGCAGGGACATGGGGCCAGACATGGAACTGCCCAGCCATTCAAAACAGCTCCTGCTGCAGCTGAACCAGCAAAGGACCAAGGGTTTCCTGTGTGATGTCATCATTATGGTGGAGAACTCTATCTTCCGGGCCCACAAGAATGTCCTGGCTGCTAGCAGCATCTACTTCAAGTCCCTGGTCCTGCATGATAACCTCATCAACCTAGATACAGACATGGTCAGTTCCACCGTGTTCCAGCAGATACTGGACTTCATCTACACCGGCAAGCTGCTGCCCAGTGACCAGCCATCTGAGCCCAACTTCAGCACTCTCCTCACTGCCGCCAGCTACCTCCAGTTGCCTGAGTTGGCAGCCCTGTGCCGTCGCAAACTGAAGCGAGCTGGCAAGCCCTTTGGCCCTGGGCGAGTGGGTACTGCTGGCATGGGGCGACCAACCCGTAGTCAGCGGCTGTCCACAGCCTCTGTCATCCAGGCTCGGTACCCAGGACTTGTAGATGGGCACAAAGGACCCCCTGTTCCCCAAGAGCTCCCTCAGGCCAAAGGGTCAGATGATGAGCCTTTCCTGGGCAGCCCCACCCAGGAGAGTACCCATGGCCTGGGCCTGGGGGGCTGTAGCAACAGCACCAACGGGAGCAGTGGGGGTTGTGAGCAGGAGTTGGGTCTGGACCTGTCCAAGAAGAGCCCTTCCCTACCTCCTACTACTACCCCTGTCCCCCACCTCACTCCTGAGGACCCGGCCCAGCTGAGTGACAGCCAGCATGACTCACCAGCACCCACTTCAACCTCCGCCCTGCCTGTTGGCAACAGTGCCTCATATGCTGAGCTGGGGGCCGCTCCTGATGAGCCCATGGATCTGGAAGGGGCTGAGGACAACCACACGAGTCTGCTAGAAGGGCAGGGTGGGCAGCCTCGCAAGAGCCTCCGGCATTCAGCCCGCAAAAAAGATTGGAACAAAAAGGAGCCCGTGGCCGGGTCCCCCTTTGATCGGAGAGAAGCCGGGACTAAGGGTCCCAACCCAGGGGAAGAAGGCGAGGGGCTTGGGGACAGGGTTCCTAATGGCATTCTCGCCAGCAGTGTTGGTGGAAGTGGTCCCAGTGGGTCATATGGGGAGCCAACATACCCCTGCAAGGAGGAGGAAGAGAATGGCAAAGACGGGAGTGAGGACAGTGGGCAGAGTGGGAGCGAGGGGGGCAGCGGCCACACTGGTGCCCACTATGTGTACCGGCAAGAAGGCTACGAGACGGTGTCATATGGGGACAACCTCTATGTGTGCATCCCTTGCGCCAAGGGCTTCCCCAGCTCTGAGCAGCTCAATGCTCACGTGGAGACACACACAGAGGAGGAGTTATTCATCAAGGAAGAAGGGGCCTATGAGACCGGCAGTGGGGGTGCAGAGGAGGAGGCTGAGGACCTGTCAACACCTAGTGCGGCCTATGCAGCTGAGCCTCGTCCTTTCAAGTGCTCAGTCTGTGAGAAGACCTACAAGGACCCAGCCACGCTGCGGCAACACGAGAAGACACACTGGTTGACCCGGCCCTTCCCCTGCAACATTTGTGGCAAGATGTTCACACAGCGAGGCACCATGACACGCCACATGCGGAGCCACCTGGGCCTGAAGCCCTTTGCCTGTGAGGAGTGTGGCATGCGCTTCACCCGCCAGTACCGCCTCACAGAGCACATGCGTGTACACTCAGGTGAGAAGCCCTATGAGTGCCAGCTCTGTGGGGGCAAGTTCACCCAGCAGCGCAACCTCATCAGCCACCTGCGCATGCACACCTCCCCTTCCTAGAAGCCAAAGACCCGAGGGAGCCCTCTGCAGACTTGCCACTTGGGAACCCACGAAAGGAGGAGTGAGGAAGCATGGCGGGAGGGGTTGAGCCCCAAAGTCTGGCACGAGGCTCCTGGCAGCTTCTCTGGCCCAGCCTCCCCACACCTAGAGCTTTAATCAACAGTGTACCAAGGGAAGCCAAGAGAAGAGGAGCTGCCCAGGCCAGCCCTGTGCGTATGGTTGCTGGTGACTACTCTCCATCCCACTTGGCTCCTGAGCTCCATGAAGGGGCTGCTGGAGAGCCGGTGGGAGTCCATGTGGGTGTTAGTGGGACCTGGTCCCTTACCTGCAGTCTGGGCTGGGGGGGGCACAGGGCTTCCCATGGCCAAGAGTGGTGCCTGGAGCAGGCCCTCAGCTGGCAGGGACCTCGACTGTGTGTGTGCATGTGTGCTTGTGTCTTTGCAGTGCAGTGTGACTCTGGTGTTGGGAAGCTGGTGCTGGGTGGCAGTTCCTTTCTCTTTGAGCTGGGGTGGCAACTGCTAGCTGGCACTGGGACAGTCAGGGTGACCCCACTGCCTACCTCTCTACAACTAAAGAGCCCTCTGGGCCTGTATTGCTGTTATTCCTACTGAGCTGTTCCTATTTCTTTTTTACAGTTTTTAAAAATTTCTTTTTTAAAACCAAAATGAACAATATTTTCCTTCTGCCTCTTTGGGGATGAGCCTGGGTCTGCAGACTGAATGTAACTGGGGCAGCTGCCCCCCCCCCCCTGTCATTTTCCCTGGCCCTGGTGCTGTGGGCATGGTTGAACCTGCCTCTCCAAGGCCCCAGAAACCTTTCTTGCCCAAAGGCTTCCCTGACCCTGAGCCCTGCCTGTCTGGGTTTACTCAGGAGAACATGCTTTTCCCATAATGTCCAAGGAGTATCACTTGTTAGAGGTACTTGTTTTTGTTGAGAGCCCCCACTCTCATACATTTTTTTAGATGTTGGAAGGTCTGAAGTTCCAGAGGGGGGAGGGGAGGATAGCCTTGGTGCCAGGCCCATCGGTACTCTTGTGTGTGCGTGTGTGTGCATGTGTTGTGTGTGTTTCTTATGCACAGACGCTTTGCTTCCTTGCTCATTGAACAAGGTGGAGAGCCTTCTGACCTTTTGCTACCTCTTGAATTCAATACCACAGTACAGTTGAGGCTGAGCCACTTGGTTTTGTTTTCCTATTGTGGGAGTAAGCTGGGCTTGGGCTGGCCTGAGCCCCTCGAGGGCCCCAGTGTTCTCTGAAGGGATGCTTGCTGCTCAGGGCATGCTGTATGTGGGGCAGGTGCTGGGCACCTGAGTAACGGAAGCCATGAGGAGGGAGCAGCCCCCTGCACGGGTGAGGTGGAAGTGAGTCCACCCCGTCCTGTGTCCTCCTGAGCTCTGAGGTGTGTCTTAACTCACTGCAGAGCCAGAGGTAAGCGTTGGCCCCTGCCTACAGACTTATCAAGTATAAGGTCAAACTAACCCTTACATGGGTGTGTCAGCCAGCCTCAGATGCTTGCATGGACTCCAGCAAGGGGCAAGACCAGACCAAGATTGTCTGTGTTCCGCCCTAGATGAGCCACAGATCGGAGCTGGTAGTCCTTATCATCATGTTGCTTGATGGCTTTTCATTTTCCTTTTGATTTCTTTTCTTTCTTTTTTTTTTTTTTTTGGTTTTTCGAGACTGGGTTTCTCTGTGGCTTTGGAGGCTGTCCTGGAACTCGCTTGGTAGTCCAGGCTGGTCTTGAATTTACAGAGATCCGCCTGCCTCTGCCTCCCTAGTGCTAGGATTAAAGGCGTGCGCCACCAACGCCCGGCTTTGATTTTTTTTTTAACTGCAGACCAAAAAATTCCAGAGTCATCCCATTCCCACCTCTCCAAAGACCTTCCGGCCTGAGTTCAGGGACCCAGTGAGTGGCAGGTGTGGTAGTGAGGGCACCTGGCCAGGCTTCCACGTTGCACTGAGCCACATCTTCTTAACCCTTTGCCTAGTATCTGTTTCCTGCTCTTGCAAGTCAGGCTGAACAGCTGAGTGAAGACCTGGACCCATTCCTTCTCCACCCCACCCCACCCAACCCTACCCCACCAGCACTTAGGACACAAAGTCTGTACAGCATAGGAGCCTCATGTGGTCTCCCAGGCTGTGGGCAGCCTCATCTGTTGTGCAGAAATTCAGGGACTGGGAGCAGAGCCCCTCAGCACGTCTGTGCAACAGAGTATTGTACCCACCTTAGTATTGTACCAAGCCTTTTCTGTATTTTAATGAAAAAGCAAAACACTAGTTTCCTATTTAAGATTTTAAGGGTTGTTGGACTGGGCGGGGTTGACACTTGGTTTGTTTTCTTTTTCCTTTGTTTCCATGGGTGCATGCATGCTTATGAGTGTCTGTGTGTGTCTGTGTGTGGAGATATTAAGAGCCTCAAGGAAATCAGGCCATAGGAGGCCAAGATGGCTTACAGTTCTCTTTTAGTCATTTAATTACTGAATGTTTTGGAGAAACAGGAAACAGAAAATAGCAGATGTCATGTAGGAAAAATTTTTAAAAAATATCAAAAGAAAAAAAGCTCATACCCAAATTCACAAACCTATTTTTTAAACCAAAGCACATTTTGAATGAGTATGGAACCTCAGTGGGCTCAGAAAAAAAAGATACTAATATATTTATCTCATTGTTTACATAAACTTTTACAGTTTCAGACCTCAGCAGCTATAAGGCCAGTCCCAGGGAACTCTCCCTCTCTTCCTCCCGGGTCCTTCTGAGTCGACCCTTGAGCAGCTCAAGGGCAGAGGCAGCCCTGGGTGCTGGGTAAGAACTAGAAGCCCCTCCCCCCTAGCTTCACCTGAGCCCTAATCCCCATTTTTGGGACCTCTTCAAGCTCAGCTGCCACCAAAGAGCACGCACCAAGCTGACCAGCCCCCCAGGCCTCCTGGCTGGACCCAAGGGGTGGATGTCAGCCCTGCCCATGAGCCTTGTGTTACTGTGAGAATCACTCAAGCCAAAAAGCAGGGAACTTTACGAAGCTCAGTAGACTCTGTCATGGCACATCCCACCCTGGGCAGCAGAAGGGTCTGACTTGAGTCTGGTCCTCACCCACAGATGGTGCGAACACTCTCAACAGTGTTGTTTTTGTATCAATGTTTGTGCAGTGATGAATGTATTTATTTCTCAGACTTAGGGTTAACTGGCGGGAGCAGGCCCGGCCCTGCCAGTGCCCACTCCCACTGGACCGAGCTACTGCAAGGGCTCTTCCAAGATTTCGAAAAAGGAAAAGATGTACTTGTGAACATGTAAGACCCTCAGACTTGCAGCATAGCCATACACCTCAGCCTGTGACCCCTGACCTCACATGGCCCAGGAATTGTGTTTCCGTCCATCAACACTGAGGGGAGCCAGGTCCCCACCTGCTGCCCACACTGTCAGTATTCACTAGACCTCAGGTCCTTGCGCAGGAGTGCGATCTGCCGAGCTGTCAGCAGGCACACTGCTGCCTTCCTGGGTAGGGGGAACCCTGGGCAGCCAGGAGGGCAGGGCTCAGGGAGCAAGTACTAGGAATGGAGGCAGAAGCCAAGAGGCCGGGCCTGAAAAGAATGGACAGGCTCTCAAGCCTTGCTGTGCTCCACTAAAGGGACCAAGGTCTTCCTTTCCCCAGTCACTATGGGGCCAATGTTACTGAACTATGAAATGGATGCCAGGAATGAGGGATAGAGAGGAACCTGACCTCAGTCTGACATTCCAACCCAGGAAGAGTGGAAGCTGTGGAACTTGCTGCCCAGGGCCCCCTTCCTAGGACACCTGCAGCTTCAGTCACCTTACTTTAACTCTCTACCAGGGACCCCTCCCCTACCTCACCTTGCTATTTATTGCTGTAATTTATTGACCTCAAAAATGCTGCATAACAGACCTCACTTGGGTCAGGGAGAGTTCCCAGGGTCCTCCCCTCCACTTGGTGGGGCCCCATGGGGCCAGGTGCTTAAAGGGACCTCCCTGTACCCAACCCATCACTCTTTCCTCCAGGGGCCCCAGGTTGGGCTCCATCCCATTTGCAAATACCTCAGGAGGGATGGGGTATATCTGTTTCATTTGATTGGAACTGGAAGAGGGATCACATCCTCTGTGCCCTTCCTGGAGCAGGGGAGGGGTGCGGGGATCGCACTCCTGTACTGGTCACCACTGTTGCCACTCATCACGTTGACTTTACTTCCCTAGAGTCTGGGTGGATGCGTTCAGGTCAGAGCTGTGGCTGTGCAGCTCTCCAATGTCAGAGTGATTTATCCACGACTGATCTCTCCATTCAAAAGCGTGCAGTCTTAATGTACAGTGATGAGAAACTGTTATTTTATGATCTTTTCATTAAAAGCTTGATTGAAAACTGTGGTGTCTGTCTTGTAGCTACACCCTCCAGCAAAGTGACAAGTCTTAGGAGAGCAGGGTCTAGGGTGAACTGATGGTGGGGATGAACTTTTGATGTGAGCAAGGTCAGAACAATACTGGCTCACATTAGTTGAGAAAGTGGACATGGTGGAGAGGCTGGGCTGAGGTGTGACCAGGAGCACAGTTGTAACTAAGAAAGGACTGGACAAGATGAGAGCCCTCTAGGTAGGTGATCTCAGAACTAGTGCTGCTGCCCTGACTCTTGGTAGGTTTAACTTATATCAAAGTGGATTCCTAAATGCTGGCATTGTGGCCGAGCAGTTTTCCCAGCATGTGCTAGGACACTAGGTTCAAACTCCCCTGTGTGCACTTGCAAGATGGGGTGACTTAAAAGACAGAGTCATAGCTGGGCAGTGGTGGCGCACGCCTTTAATCCCAGCACTCGGGAGGCAGAGGCAGGCGGATCTCTGAGTTTGAGACCAGCCTGGTCTACAAGAGCTAGGTTACAGGACAGCCTCCAAAGCAACAGAGAAAACCTGTCTCGAAAAAACCAAGGAAAAAAAAAGGAAAGGGGTTCATGAACATTGAAAGCCTGACTCTTGCTTTTTAAGACTAAAGGCATTTGCCCTCATATCCAGCTAAGTTAAGTTATTCATTGGCTTTTTTGAGAGAGGATTTCTGTTTAGCTTTGGAGGTTTTCCTGGAACTCAGTAGACCAAGTAGGCCTCGAACTCACAGAGATCCACCTGCCTCTGCCTCCCAACTGCTGGGATTAAAGGCATGTGCCACCAACACCCAGCGTTAAGTTTATTTTTATGTCTAATTACATGTGTGATTGGTGTCCTCAGATCCCCTGGAACTGGAGTTGATGGATGGTTGTGGGCTGCCATGTGGATGCTGGGAAACAAATCCCGGGTCCTCTGCAAAAGCACCCAGTGAGCATCTTTTCTAGTAAAATTCCTGAAGATGGTAAAATGCTGTGGTAGCCGGGCGTTTTTGGCGGCTCATGCCATTAATCCCAGCACTTGGGAGGCAGAGGCAGGTGGATCTCTGTGAGTTTGACACCAGCCTGGTCTACAGAGTTCCAGGACAGCCAGGGCTACACAGAAACTTTTTTTTTATTACAGGGCTGGAGAGATTGCTCAGAGCTCTGGCTGCTCTTTCAAGAACCCAGGTTCAATGCCCAACACTCACATGGCAGTTAAAAACTAATTCCAGGGCTGGAGAGATGCCTCAGAGGTTAAGAACACTGACTGCTCTCCCAGGGGTCCTGAGTTCAATTCCCAGCAACCACATGGTGGCTCACAACCATCTACAATTCAATGTGGTGCCTTTTTCTGGCATGTAGGCAGAACACTGTATATGTGGTAAATAAATAAATCTTTAAAAAAAGAAAATATCCTTTAAAAAAAACTAATTCCAGTTCTGGGGGGTCTTCCTGTTATGATAAAGTGTGAGGAACCTTTCGTGGGGGGACCTTGGCTGATTCTACGACAGGCGAGGCTGACCTGACCGAGGCAGGGGACATGCACTACCACCCTCACAGAGACACAGAGGAAAAACACAAATGTAGATAAAATAGGAATAAATCATTTTTAAAAAAGAAAGTCTAAATTTCTTCTGTGTGTTCTCCTTCTGTGTCATGGTATGTGTATGGAGTCTGGGCCTTCATGTATGACAGTTAAGCACTGCCAGGTGAACTATATATATCCTAGCTCCTATACCTGCTTTATTTCAAATTCCCATGGGAGGGTTTCTCTGTATTGTTTTGGAGGCTGTCCTGGAACTCGATTTGTAGACCAGGCTATCCATTGCAAGGCTTTAAGGTGTTTCCACCACTCAGAAACCCTGGCCTTAGCTTGTTTCCTTGTAGGTCCCCTTTACAGTTTTCTTTTGCAGTGCTGGACATGAAAGTACAACATGGTATCATGGACTCTGGTCAAACCCTGTACTACTACTGAGCTGTGCTCAGTCACCATACTCTGAGTTGGAAACATCTCTTTTTTTTCCCAGAGCTGTTGGAAGAGGCTTTTGACAGCTCTGCTCCTAAGGGAACTACTTAGTGGTGAGGGTGACTCAAGGCTTCAGTACAGGCTACATTCCATCTACAGCGTCAGCACCCACAGGGTCTGTACGTGAGCTGCAGTAAAGACCTGACCTCAGTGTCATTTGGTAACAGGAAGGAGCCAGGATGAACGAAGTAGCCTTTTGTTTGTGTGGGACTGCTTGTGATGGGGAACTTTTTTTTTTTTTTTTTTTTTTTTTTTTTTGGTTTTACGAGACAGGATTTTCTGTATTGTTTTGGAGGCTGTCGGTCCAGCCTGGCCTCGAACTCACAGAGATCCGCCTGCCTCTGCCTCCCAAGTACTGGGATTAAAGGCGTGCGCCACCACCGCCTAGCTTTTTTCTTTTTTGAGACAGGGTTTCTCTGTGGTTTTGGAGCCTGTCCTGGAATTTGCTCTTGTAGACCAGGCTGGTCTCAAACTCACAAAGATCCTCCTGCTTCTGCCTCCCAAGTGCTGGGATTAAAGGTGTGTGCCACCAACGCCCGGCTGGGGAACATTTTCTATGTTGAGGCTCACTGTGTAACCAGGCTGGCCTGGAAGAGAGCTGACTGCTCCTGAGTTCTGGTGTTAAAGGTTTGTGCCAACATACCTGGCATCATTTCTTAGGGTCCCCTGTTACCCAGGCTAGCACCCAGAAAGGAGAAGTGGGGGGGAAACAAGAGTCTGGGTCCTCTGCAGGAGCAGCAAGTGTTCTTAACCACTGAACAAGCTCCCCCAGCCCCGGAAACTTGCTTTTTTTGGGGGGGGGATTGGCTTTTCGAGCCGGTTTCTCTGGCTTTGGAGGCTGTTCTGGAACTTGCTCTGTAGACCAGACTGGCCTTGAACTCACAGAGATCTACCTGCCTCTTCATCCTGAGTGCTGGGACTAAAGGCGTGTGCCATGGTGTCTGGCTTTAAAACTTGCTGTGTGAAGTGTGTGTGTGCCATGTGTGTGTAGAGGTCAGGGGGAGGGCCTTGCGTGTCAGCCTTCACCTTCTACATTGTTCGAGATAATATATTTATTTAGTGGCTTCTAGGGATTCTTCCCAGTTTCCCTCAGAAGCCCTGGGACTTGAGACAAACGTTTTATGTGGGTTCGGGGGTTTGGACTTGCGTCCTCACCCTTCTCCACTTCCCATTTCCCTAACCCAAAGGGAACTGTTGATGTCTTGTTCTCAGTGTCTGCTGCAAACCGGGAGGTTTAGTCCATCATCATGGCAGAAGCAAGGCAGGTGCTGGAGAGGTACCTGAGAGTTCTACATCTTGACCCACAGGCAACAGGAAGTGAACTCTCCCTTAGTGGGTTTAGTCTGAGCAAAGGAGACCTCAAGGCCCACCCCCACAGTGACACTTCCTGCTACAAGGCCATGCCTACTGCAACAATGCCACACCCCAAATAGTGCCACTCCCTCTAGGCCAAGCTTTCAAACACACCTTAGGCCCAAGTACAGCTGTGTGTAAGTAAGATGCTTTAGGGGAGGGCACATGTATAACAAAGAAATGAATATATAACAACCTGTCAGTCAAAAAGAGAACCACGCAAACTAGGCCCCCTAGTAACTAGGGCCACTTTAGACCCCATTGGCATCCATGTCCTTGTCTGTGACTTTCAGACTACTGTGGCTTCTCTGTGAAAGTGTTTGTGTAATTTTCCTTAAATTCATTCTGAGTAAGCCACTGAGACCCCCCCCATAGCAGGGTGGGGTCTTTTTTTTAAAGTTTATTTATTTATTATGAATACAACATCCTGCTTCTATGTACATCTACACATCAGAAGAGGACACCAGATCTCATTACAGATGGTTGTGAGCCACCGTGTGGTTGCTGGGAATTGAACTCAGGACCTCTGGAAGAGCAGTCAGTGCTCTTAACCTCTGAGCCATCTCTCCAGCCCCCAGGGTGGAGTCTTAAGTGTCACTTTAGTACTAAGGGGACTCAAAGTTGCCCCTTAGATGTAGGAACAGTTGGGTTGGTATCCCAGGGAAAGAACATTGCATGCAAGTGTGGGGGTGGTCTCTGAGCTCTGAGCCTGGTCTACAGAGCAACTTCCAGGACAACAGACACAAAGCTACACAGAGAAACCAGAAAGCAAACAAAAGAATGGGGGTAGTTATCTGGCACTTGCTAGAATTTTGAGTGGTGTGTGGGACAGAGACCAGGCACCAGTTGTCTCAATGAAGGAGGCTGCCCACTGCTGAGCGATAACACTGAGCAGGGTGGGTTGGATTTGGGGTGCTGGGATGCTGGGAAGGCACAGTGCCCTGGCAGGTACATTGCTGAGGAGCAGCAGGAGGCAGGGTTCTGTGCCTGGGAGCCCAGTGGGCACTGACTTGAACTTGTGTTTTGTGAAGTCACAGCTGTGGAGGGTTAGGGAAGGTTAGTGGGGGGGTTGGTGAGGGAAGCCGACCTTGGGGAGTTTGGAGTGATCTGGTCTGAAGCGGCAGCCATGAGGGTGACAAGGCAGCTAGTGCTGTCCTCAAGACCATGTCCCCAACCTCCTCCAGCATGGAGCTCTCAGTGCTGGGCATACGGTAGCCAAGTCATACTGGGCTGAGGCGGGGGCTTCCCACTCATAATGGAGAAGTCTGGGGGATAGGTCTATGGTTTGCACTAGGAATCGGGGACAGGCTAGATAGAGTGAAGGCCGTGCATGAGGCTGGAGGCATCAGAACAGGGTCAGCAAAGGGAGGCCTGGGGACTGTTCAGGGTCTGTAGAAGCTGCCCAGGGGCATCCTAGTGGACAGGTCAAAATGTTTGTCACAGTGGAGCAATAATTTTGGACCTTGGGTGAGGGGTGGAGAAGGTATGAGAGAATCCTGAGGAAATGTCCAGAGAACAAATAGGTAAATGTCCCATTAGGAAGACCAACACCGACCATTTCCCTGGCAACTACGGCCTTGTATGTAGTACCCATTGGAGCATTGACCCCTTTCCCAGGCAGGGGATGGTGCCTAGGTAGCAGGGAGAAACCCTCAGATCAGGGCTATCCTTCACCCTCCCCAGGTGAGCCTGGGTGCCAGTGTCACAACCGTCTATGTCCCTGTGTATAGGTGTTTGAGTCCTCAGTCTGCCGCCGGGAAAAGGCCAAGATTTCCCAAGCTGTGGGCAGAGGTCAGCCTGCCAAGTCCTTAGTGAGGTGCTGCCATTTTGAGTAGCTTTTGTCAAGGGAGGTGGGGACTAAGCACCACTTATGTCGCAGCAGGCCAGCTCTGCCTCTGCCTACAAGTGCTGGGGCTAAAGGCGTGTGCTACCACCACCCCCAGACTTGAGGTTTTACTAAACATCTTGGGGGCTGGTGAGACAGCTCAGCAGTTATGAGCCCTTTCCCAGAGGAATTAGTTGGATTCCCAGTACCCATAGCTCAAAACGATCTGTAACTCATTTTCTGAGATCTGATGCCCTCTTCTGGCCTGGTGCATGGTCATGCTGGTAAAATACCCATACATAAAATAAATAAATAAATAAAATGAGGCTGGGTGTTGATGGCACATGCCTTTAATCCCAGCACTTGGGAGGCAGAAGCAGGCGGATCTCTGTGAGTTCGAGGCCAGCCTGGTCTACAAGAGCTAGTTCCAGGACAGCCTCCAAAGCCACAGAGAAACCCTGTCTCGAAAAACCAAAAACCAAAAAAAAAAAAAACAAAAAACAAATAAATAAATAAATAAATAAATCAGACAAAAAAATAAAACGAGACTTACTATTTTGTGTGTCTTTGATGTTGGGGTTGGCACACTTGTGCCATGGCCTCCATGTGAAGAGATCAGAGGACAGCTCTTCAGAGTTCTCTCCTTTTACTGTGGATCTATAAATTGAACTCAGTTTACTGGGCTTGTCTGCTGAACATGTCACTAGCCTAAGATATTACAGACTTTAAGCGTGAGGGGTAAGAGAGGGCAGGATGCTCAGAAGAAACTTCACCCAGAGCATAGCTGTGGGCTCCTCAAGGAAGCAAGACAGCCACGTGTGGATGTGGGCGTCTCTTGTGGGACTTGTCCCTTGGGAGAAGTGAGCAAACGATGGTCTTCTGACCCCAGATAGGAACACTGATGGCCAAATAATGTACGGGTACATCCCACAAAAGCCCAATATGGTGGAGTGGTTGGTGACAATGTTTATTTGGGCTACCTACAGGGTGCTGTAAACCTGCACACAGCCTGCTGGCTGCTCAACATTGGGGAGGGTCCTTCAAGGAAGTGGAGTTAGTCTGGACATCTTCCGGGCAGTGAGGCTGGCCTCCTGTGACCATGAGGTAGGAGGGGTCTGGTGCCTTTGCTCAGCCTCAGGAACTTCCTGAGTCTTAACAGCTTCACTTTGAATCTTGAGGCGCCTCTCTGAGGAAAGTGCTCTACAGTGGCTTCTTAAGGTAGAGTCAAATGTTCTTTATGATGGTCACAGGTAGGATTTGAAGCTGTTGTCTTCAAAGGCTGGACAAGGAGCCTGAGATCTGAGATCACAGGGAACTTTCAGAGGGTTACCTAATAGGATCACTGCCGATAAGACAGGGATGCAGAGTTACCAGAGAGACTGTCCCTGAAGTGCATGCACTTGTGCAAGTGTGTGTGTGTGTGTGAGTGAATGTGCGAGTGTGTGCATGTGTGCTTGCGTGTGTGTGAGTGAATGTGCGAGTGTGTGCATGTGTGCTTGCGTGTGTGTGTGTGTGTGTGTGAGTGAATGTGCGAGTGTGTGCATTTGTGCTTGCGTGTGTGTGTGTGTGTGAGTGAATGTGCGAGTGTGTGCATGTGTGCTTGCGCGTGTGTGTGTGTGTGTGAATGTGCGAGTGTGTGCATGTGTGCTTGCGTGTGTGTGTGTGTGTGTGTGTGTGTGTGTGAGTGAATGTGCGAGTGTGTGCATGTGTGCTTGCATGTGTGTGTGTGTGTGGTGATGCCCTAAGCTAAGTCACACACATTTGGGCCTTAAGCAGAGTCCATTGCCATGTTAGCATACAGTGTCTGTAAACAGAGGCTCATTACACAGCAAATGTTGACCCTGGTGGGTGACTCCAGGATGGGGGTGGGGGCTCCTTTCCTTTCTCATGTCCTAATTTTCTCTAGCTTGCCTCAACTTTTACGTTTAGCATGGTGTTTTTCTTCTGCCAAATTTTAGCCAGGGTTGGGGGTACAAGCCTTTGTACACAAAAACAAGATTGCCACAACTTGGAGGCCAACCTGGGCTACAGACTAGCCAAGGCTACTTAGCAGGAACCTTCATCATCATCATCATCATCATCAAAGCAACAGTTGACCACAAGAAATGGCCAGCACAGAGGTGCAGTCTGTGGTCTCTGCACTTTGAGCAGTGAGGTGGGAGGGTAAGGAGGCCCAGCTCATCCTTCTCATCCTTGGCTACACAGTTGAGTTTCAGGCCAGTCTGAGCTACATGACACCCTGTCTCAAAGGGAATAAAAGGGAACAAAATCAAACAAAGAACGAGCTGGTCCTAGACTGGTAAGGCCAAGTAGCTGCAGGTGTGCTTGTGGAGGGGCCAACGAAGGGAGCTGCTCAGAGGCAGAGAGGAAGGAAAGGCCTCAAAGGGTAGGCGATGGCTGCTGAGGCGTCTGGTAGGAACAGTTGGTGAACAGTAGTTCTCAGAGGGAAGACTCAGCAGGCACCGAGCCTCTGTCTACCCCCAGTTCAGCAAATACAAACCCCGAGCGTTCACACACCCTCTCCCAAATGCCTAGGGCCAGACAGGCTTCAAAGACTTGGAGTTTTGAACTATTTGTATAGACATAACCACACAGCACCCTAACTTGAGATTCTGAAATGTGCTGACGGTATCTGAAAGTTCTGGGTGTCTAGGTCAGGCATATTTCTGGCAGCAAGGGGAGTTCCAGTTTAGCCAGAGCTATCAACTGACACAGTCCATTCTTTAAATAAGTGCGTGCGTGCGTGCGTGCGTGCGCGTGTGTGTGTGTGTGTGTGTGTGTGTGTGTGTGTGATGTGTGATACTGGGGTTTGAACCTAACACCTTGTGTATGGAAGGATTCTTCGGACCAAGCTGTATCCCAAGCACACTAAAAAAGTCTATTCATTGTTGTTTGTTGAGACATGGTCTATGTAGTCTAGGCTGGCTTTGAAAAAGTCACAGGCTTCAGTGAGAACACTTTGCTGCTCTTCCAGAGGCCCTGAAACTTAGTTCCCACACCCAACTGGGCTCACATAGGTGGCTCACAACTGCCTGAAACTCCAGCTCCAAAGGATCAGAGGTCCTCCTGAGGCAACTGCACACATGTGGTACATACCAACATACACACACACACACATAACCAAAAACATAGGCAACTGCACACATGCAGTACATACCAACACACACACACATAACTACAAACATAGGTACCTGCACACATGTGGTACATACCAACACACACACACACACACACACATAACTAAAAACATAGGCAACTGCACACATGCAGTAATACAACACACATACATACACATAACTAAAAACATAGGCAACTGCACACATGCAGTAATACAACACACACACATAACTAAAAACATAGGCAACTGCACACATGTGGTACATACCAACACACATACATACGTGTAACTAAAAACATGTTGTAAATGACAATTTTTCAGTCAGGTGTTGGGTGGTGCACACCTTTAGTTCCAGCACTCCGGAGGCAGAGGCAGTCGGATCTCTGTGAGTTCGAGACCAGACTGGTCTACAGAGTGAGTCCCAGGACAGCCTCCAAAACCACAGAGAAACCTTGTCTCGAAAAACAAAACAAAACAAACAAACAAACAAAAACAAAAAAACCACTTATTGAACCGAGTGCGATGGTGCACACCTGTAATCGAGTACCAGGGAGATGGAGGCAGCCGATAGGCTTGAGTTCAAGACCAGGCTCTGTGCTAACAAACTCCCTAGATCACAAAACACCATCATTCCCTTCCTGCCTAGACCACTCAACAAGCCCAGTCAATAGGGTTTTCTAGAGCCATGGCATTCCAGCACCTCAGAGCCGCCCCCCAGTCACTGCTCACTGTCCTGTCACCCCTCACTCAGCAAGGCACAAGGCCTACCCACGGAGACCACATCAACGTCATCATTGTTGCAATACATGAGAGAGAAAATTAAGGAACTTAATTTCAAACGTTTTTCTCAAAATTCTAGTATTCCCCTGCTTGGATACTCAGAATCTAAGTGAGCTACACCCGATTTATCCTGTAATTACAGTTGCTGTGGTAATTCAGTTTCATTTTTTCCCCCAGTCATGGTCTTCTTGCTATATAGCTAAATACTGCTATATAACTCTAGGTGATCAATCCTGTTGCCTCAGACTCTGGACTTCTGGGATTACAGGCATGAACTGTTAAGTCCGGTCTTTTATTAACTTTTTATCAATCCGATTGAGAGTCGATATTTTTGTTGTGTTTTTCGAGACAGGTTCACTTGTAACCCTGGCTAATCTCAAATTCGATGTGTAGCAAAGGATGACCTTGAACTTCTGATCTTCATGTCCCCATACCCCAGGAGATAGAATTCTAGACCGGCCACCAAGTTCTGCTTTGATGAAATTTGTGTACCTGAATCCACCAGGAGTGCCCCCGGTCGGGCTCTGGCGTCCCCCGCTGCCCATTGTGACGCGGGCCAGCGGGCAGTCCAGGCGGCGGGAGTCTGGGGTGGGGAGTGCGGGAGCTATGGTTGAGCCGCAGGAGCAGCTGCTGCAGCTGCAGAAGGACAACCGCGATGGTCGTCTGCGGAAGCAGGAGCTGGAGGAGCTGGTGCGTGGGCTGGAAGCCGAGAGCGAGAGCCTCACCGGGCGCCTGGACGAGCTGCGCGAGCGCGAGCGCAGGTGCGAGGGCACCGAGGCTCCAGGACTGGCTTGTGGCAGTCTGGGCTCTGGGTAGTGGGACCTCAGTCTGGAACTCAGGCTGGCGGCTGGGCCTTCCCAGAGGAGCCTGCGCTCTAGTTTCATCCCTGGCCAATTCCCCCGCCGTACAGCCTGCAGCGGAGACGAAGCCAAGCGTCGCGGGCTATACGAGGGGAGGCGCGCGAGGCGGCGCGGGAGCGCGCAGAGCGGGCTCGTGGACTGCTGGAGGCGGCGGAGCAGCACCGGCTGGACCTGGTGAGGGCAAGAGCAAGGGGCGGGGCTCGGGGTAGCGAGGCTGGCGAAGAGGCCTAGACAGCCTGGACTCTGTCCGCAGGAGCAACACAATCGGAAGCTGCAGGAACAGTGGGAGGAGCTGTCCAGCCAGGTAAGTACAGAGAGTCAGGCCACGCCCTCGCCCCCCAGTCCCAGAAGCCAGTCACTCACAAGCTCCGTCCCCAGCTTTTCTACTACGGAGGAGAACAGCTGAGTCAACAGCGAGCAGAGCAGCAACTGGGGACTCAGCTCCTGGCACTGCAGGTACACGGGCGGGGACGGGGACGGAGTATGGCTGTGGGCGGGGCCGCGCGCTTGCGTGGGTGGAGCCTCAGACCCTAAGCCAGGGACCGAGCCTGGGGCACGGAGGTGTGCGCAGGTTCTTGACATCACTTGGATCCTCCCGAAGAAACATCTGGAGCTGGCAGAGGCCAAATTCACCATGCAAGCAGAAGGCCTGCGACAGGTGCGAAGGGCGCTGGGCTCCGAGGGGAGGCCTCGCGGGGAGGGCGTGTCTTGGCTTTGCTCAACCAAGCCCCTGGCTTCTAGGGCGCACAGCGTACGGAAGAGGCCTGGGCTAGTTTTCAGGAGCAGAGTGGAGTTCTGCAGGTGCGGTCCCATCACTTCTGAGAGCCGGCCCTTTTCGAATGCCCCGCGGCCTCAGCCCTTTCTCCTCACCCCTGACCCGCGGTGGACCGCATCCTCCGCCATGAGTCCCTGTTGCCACCCTCCAGGAGCTGCAGGGAAAGGTGATGGAGGCAGCAGCTGCGCTGGAGGCTACGCGCGGTGGCTCGGAACCGTAAGGTTTGGGACTAGGGAGGATGGCAGGGCAGCGCAAGGCCAGGCCAGGTGGGTCATCTCCGTGCCCATCCTGCAGGTGGAACTCGCAGCCTCGTCGGGTGCAGGACTGCGCGGGCTCACTCATGGAGGAGGTGGCCAGAGCCGACTGTGTGAGCGCGGGCCGGGGCGTCTGGGCTGGAGTTGGGACCCGCCCGCTACGGGCGACCTGCTCTCTCGGGAAGAGACAGGCCTACAGCCTGGCCTCTGCCCTGGTGCAGAGCTGGATGCGGCCCTTTCTCTGCAGGAAAAACGGCTGTTTGGCGGTGCGGGCGCGGGGAGCATCAGGTGAGTGGCTAGCGGGGACCCCCAGCGGTCCGGGCTCCCGGAGCCCCCACCCACACGTTCGTTGGTGGTTCTACAGGCTGTGGGCGCTGAGTGCTCTGCAGACGCTGCTGCTGCTCCCGCTGGGCTTCCTGGCGCTGCCGATGCTTTACGTGGCGCTGGCGAAGCCCGACACCGACGGCTCTGGACTCCCGAGTAGTCTTGGCTCAGACGCAGTCTTCCGCCGGCTGCGCTACACGCTGTCGCCTTTGCTTGAGTTGCGCGCTCGCGGACTGCTGCCTGCTTAGAGCGCATCATGCTGACTTCGGCCGCCTGCACCTGTCTCTTTGTGGTCTCTGGGGTGTCTGCCTGTGTGCAAAGGGCGGGATGGAGCTTGTGTGTTCCTTGTCACCTGGGCGTAGCGGGGCTGCTGGAATGCCCAGGCTGTCCTTGGTGTCACAGCCTTGGCTACTGAGTCCCGGCCCGACCCCCTAAGGAGTCGTTTGGTACTGTGAGCCTGAGCTTTGGGCAGGGCTCTGGCCTGTCCGTTCCCCTCTGGGGTGTGTTGTTTTCCTCGGATGCGCAGTTACCCTAGATCCCCCACAACATTGGGGTTCCCTCTGGGCAGGTTTGAATTTGCCAAACCCAAACTTCCTCACAGCATGTGAGCACACCGATAGTGTGTGCTTACCACTGTGGACTTCGCGGGGAACATGCTAGTATATGAGGAATGATTACTGGAAATTAACCTGTCGAATTTTGATCCTGCACATATAAGCTCTAGACCACTTATTTGGAGTTGGGTGTCTCATGGTAGGCCATCCCAGCTTTGAACTCACAGTGTAGCTGAGTGATCCTGAACTACTTCCTGCCTGCACCTCCTGGGGGTTTGGATTGCAGGCATGAGCCACCAAGTGTGGCTGATCCTGTATGGGGATTAAACAAACCATTTGTGAATGCTGAGCTAGAACCACGACAGTTAAACAATTGCAGCTTTTCTGGTAAGTTTATTGGCGACTCACTTAATGGCCTGACAAAATGGTCTGTAAAGATGAGCATGGAGAAAGCACCTGTTGTGGTTAAGGTCAATGGCATATAGCGGCCTATTAGTTCTACCCACTGGAGTCTCCTTGAACGGGTGATGGCTGTCTTGCAAGCACAAGGACCAGAGTTTGATCCTACGAACCCATGTACAAATGCTACATGGTGAGGGTGTCAGTGACTCCAGTGCTGGGGAGGTAGAGATAGGGGCATGCCAATGAGCTCCAGCCAGTGGGAGACTGTCCCAGGAAACTAGCTGGGGCTGGAGAAATGGTTGAGGGCATTGCTGGTCTTAAAAAAAAATATTGTTATGTATACTGCTGTTCTGCCTGCCCGTATGTGTGAGGGTATCAGATCTTGGAGTTACAGACAGGTGTGAGCTGTCATGTGGGTGCTGGGAATTGAACTCAGGACCTCTGGAAAAGCAGTCAGTGCTCTTAACTGCTGAGCCATCTTCCCAGAACTTGGGCTGGAGTGGTACAGCGGTTAAGAACACTGGCTGTTCTTCCAGAGGACCCAGGTTCAATTCCCAGTACCTACAGGTCAGCTCACAAACTATCTGAACTCCAGTTCCAGGGGATTCAATGCAAATAAAAATTAAACAAAACAAAACAAAAACCCATGGGCTGGAGAGATGGCTCAGAGGTTAAGAGCACTTATTGTCCTTTCAGAGGTCCTGAGTTCAATTCCCAGCAACCACATGGTGGCTCACAACCACCTGTAATGAGATCCGGCGCCCTCTTCTGGCCTGCAGGGATACATGCAGACAGAACACTGTATACACAATAAATAAGTAAATCTTTAAAAAGAGGACCTAGGTTTGGTTTCCAGTATTCACATGAGGTATCTGACAACATCCTGTAACTCTTGTTCCAGGGGATCTGATGTCCTCTTCTGGCCTCCTCACCAAGTATGGTGCACAAACTACATGCAGACACTCACACATACACATAAATAATCTTACAAAAAAACAAAGCCGGCAGCAAGGTGGTGGCACATGCCTTTAATCCCAGCACTGGGGAGGCAGAGGCAGAGGCAGGCAAATCTCTGAGTTCCAGGCCAGCGTGGTCTACATAGTAAATCCAGAACAGCCAGGGCTACACAGGGAAACCCTGTCTTAAAAAACAAAATAAAACCAAACCAAACAAAAAGCAAGGTCAGCGTTACAGACCTGGGCAACTGCTCTTGGGTTCACTTTTGTATGCTTTCTATTGATTGACGTGTGCATTTTGGGGGCTACTGCAGATGGGCCTTGTGCATGTCAGGCAACAGCTTGCACTACTGAACTACAGAGATGGAGACAAAGGTCAGCCTAGGCAAGTCTCCCCTTGGAGAGGACGCCTGTTGGGAGGAGGCATTAATCCTGAGGTCACAGGCTAGGGCTACGGCCAAGGGTGGTGTGTTTGCCTAGCATGCATAGGCCCTGGGTTTGATTCTTAGTACTAAAACCAAACCAGATTCCTTAAGCTAAGTGTGACTTGGAAGGATCAGGAATTCAAGGGCAGCTTCAACTACAGGGCAGATTTGAGGCTAACAACGCAAATGTAGCACATTTTTGGGATTTTTATTTTTTTCATGTTTATACAAGAAAATACTTCATGTACCTATGTAGTAAGACAGTGAACAGGTAGGGAATGTATCCAGTGCCAACACTCACACCTGTGCATACAGCACCACCACACGCTTGTCAGTCTCCCGAAGCAAAGCTCCATGTGCCTGTCACAGCGCCACGCCCCAGCACGGTAACATATGAGGTGCTCTGGGCACCAGAGGTTTCAGAGCTGCCTGCCCCTAGTAGGGGATGTCATTCTGGTAGTACTGGATCATGTCATAGGTCCGGCTCCTGAAAGGTCAAAGGTCAAGTGAGAGTGAAGGCCCTCGTCTCCTCTCCAGGAGCCCTAACCCCACCTGCTTGCCCTCGGGAGGCTCAGGAATGCTGGGTGACTTGCCTGTTGCTGAGGAAACAGCTCTGGATGACCTTCATGATAAAATTTGCAGCCTCTCGCTCTGTCATGTTAGGGCTGAACCTGTGTCTGTGGAGATGAAAGGCTGCATTTGTGGGAATCTCTTCAGCGTGGCCCCCTTCTGCTGGTGAGGCCTAGTGTGTTCTCTGACCCTTTCCAGCAACTACTAGGTCACTTGGGGAGCTCAAGGCCATCTTGCTATCCCAGGGACCCCGTCTGCTCTGGGGTTCCAAGGATCCATAAAAGGTTTCTGGGGTTCAGCAGATGGACAGCCCTTCCCCAAGTGGCACCTACTTCAAAAGCTTGATGGTCTGGCCTCGGAAACAGGGCAGGCCGGTGTCCAACATGAGTGTAACCAGGGAGACGACTGCATCCATGTAAGGTCTGTGGAGACAGCAAGGTGGGGACAAAGCCAGCTTAGCGGGGACCTGGCTGGCAGTCCTGTGACCCAGCTGCCACTTGCCCACCATCTGCCTCCCTCCCTGAGCCACGCTCACGCAGCTCTGTCCCCAGCAGGCCAGGCTTCCAGCCGTGCTTTCAAGAATGCTGTGTGGTGTTAACCACAGTAGCATGTGGAATGTGGCAAAGTGACACTCCATGGGACATGGTGGATGCCAGTCACTATCACGTGGCTCTGGAGGTGCTGGGGCTGCGGTGAAAGGGTGGGCAGGAAGTCCAGAGGGGCAGCCTAAGGTGCTGGCAGATGTGAGGTCCCTGCGGGAGATTTCAGGGTGTGCTGGCGGTTCAGAATGGGAAGTTGCTCACGAAGGTAGAATAGGCGACTAGAAGGCCAGGTCCTTCACTTTTAAAAGATTTACACTGGCCTTTAGTCCAAGCACTCAGGAGGCAGAGACTGGACTCCCAAGTTCTAGGCTGGCCTTGTCTACAAAGTGAGTTCTAGGACAGCCAGTGCTGTTACACAGAAACCCTGTCTTGAAAAACAATGTCATTTGGTTGTGACCCTGTCTCGGAACAACAGATTATGTGTGGTGTGTGCCTGTGTTTGAGTGGATGCGGATGTGTGTGCAGGCGCCTCAAGAGGCGAGAGAGGGCATGCGTCTGGGAGCTGGAGTTACAGGTGTCTGTGGGCTGCCTGCTGTGAGTGGCAGGTGTGTGTGTGTGTGTGTGTGGTGTGGTATGTGTGTGTGTGGTGTGTGTGTGTGGTGTGTGTGTGTGGTGTGTGTGTGTGTGGTGTGTGTGTGGTGTGTGTGTGTGTGTGTGGTGTGTGTGTGGTGTGGTGTGTGTGGTGTGTGTGTGTGTGTGGTGTGTGTGTGTGGTGTGTGTGTGTAGTGTGTGTGTGTAGTGGGTGTGTGGGGTGTGGTGTGTGTGTGGTGTGTGTGTGGTATGTGTGTGTGTGGTGTGGTGTGTGTGTGTGTGGTGTGTGTGTGTGTGGTGTGTGTGTGGTATGTGTGTGTGTGGTGTGGTGTGTGTGTGTGTGTGTGGTGTGGTGTGTGTGTGTGTATGTGGTGTGGTGGGGGGAAGCTCCTTTTCAGTGCCTTTGAGCCTGGTTCCCTTCAGGAGGCACGAGTGTTCTTTCACACGTGGATATCCCTTCCACATTGCCCGTGGGCTCACCGCACAGCCAGATAACCTCGGACACACATCTCCATGAACCACTTGAAGGGTGTGGCTTCCATCTTGCCTCCCATAATCATCACCATCTCATCTGTCAGCTTGATGTCTGGTTCCCAGCCAAGGTTGCCACCCGGTGAGCTTTCAAACATGAAGCCAAAGTCTGCAAAATTCCAAAAAGCTGCCTGTAACTGGGGCAGGAGCGAGGGCAGGGTGGGTTATTTCCAGTAGAGAAGGACTCAGCCACACATGGGCCAAAAGCGGGGGAGGAAGCAGGGGAAGAGGAAGCAGGCTTGTGTCAGGCTAGAGCAGAGACATTCCACCAGCGTTCCCGTCTACCAAGTGTGAGCTGCTGCCATTCTAGTTCCCAGCTCCCAGGGCCTTGGCTGGCTATTCCTACAGAAGTACAGCCGCGGGCTTTGGGTGCGCTCGCGCTCTGCAATGGGCAAAGGGAGCGCAGGGGGCAGCTGGCTGACCGATGTGGATGATGTGGCCCTTCTTGTCCAGCATGATGTTGCCGTTGTGCCTGTCCTTGATCTGCAGCAGGAACAGCAGGAGGCTGTAGGCGGCCATGCTTCGGATAAAGTTGTAGCGTGCCTGTGTGGAGAGGGCTGTGGTCTCACCCTGGCTCTGTGGCCCAGCTTAGAGGCAGAGCTGGGTCAGGAAGGCAGAGTCAGCTCACTGCAGTGAGTGCGGCTGTGTGGTGTGCAGACAACAGCACTTTCTGCCCCCTGGGGTTCTAGGCTTCTGTAACACTAAGAGAAAGCAATGGGGGACTGATTTAGCTCCTAACAGAGGAAGACAGACAGTGAGGTGAGGCCCTGGGGTTAGCTACCTGTTGGAAGGCCAGGGTAGACTCATCCCCATACTGGCGTGTGAAGTAGTCATACATGCCGAAGTCAGTTTGCCGGCCCAGCTGGTCTCGGGAGGTGCAGTCCGGTATGCACTCAATTACTCCACACTAGGAAGGGCAGGAGGGACAGTTAGGTGGCACAGTGATGCCATGATCCCTCTGCCTACCATGCTCCAGGAACTCACCCCAGGGGCAGTAGCCACCACCCGGTAGGGAAAAACAAAGAGGTCCAGGCCAACCAGCTGGAAGATGTTCTTGAAGAGGTCGATGATCTGCAGGGCTAACATGTCCTGGACCAGAGAAGGCACAGCATACAGTCAGGGTCCGCCCTTCAGCCTCTGGACCACTTGGAAACTAGTGGCCCTGGAGGCTCACACAGTAAAGGCCAGCAGGCTGTGGCCAAATGAGAGTCTAGAGGTCGGGCCTTACAGCCCACCCAGGCTGGGCTGTCATGGGACTGTCCAGAGGGGTTGGAAGGAGGGGTTTCTGGTTTGTTCTAATGTGAGGGGCTCTGTGGTGGCACTAGGGGATAGAGCCCTGCCCTGCCAGCCTAGGAAAGGCAGCTCTGTCACCTGCCGGCAGTCATCCCCCACTTTGAAGATGGCTGCTTGCCAGCAGATCTTCTTGCCGTCAGCCTCC